AGGTTTCCTCATTGAACAAAGTCATGTGCAGCAAGGCTGTGCTGTATTTCGGTCTGGAATTCTGTTTGGTCACTTGTATGGCATGCCACATGGCTGCCTCTGGCCTGGGAGCCAGGAACAGCTGGAGCCTGGGATGACTGAAGTAAAAATGACATATTTGCTAGCCTGAGAGGGAGAAGTCAGGATATTCTTGCTCTGTTTCTTGCAAAGCAAACTTCTCAGTTTGTTGAATACAAAGTTTTCCCGTTGGCTGTCAAAGTGGTTTATAACTAAAATAATCTTACATCCTTTAGAATAAATCACAAATAATGAATGGCCAAACTGTTTCTGAAGTCAAAGCAAAATTCATCAAAACAAAATTCATCAAACCTTTAATGCTCACAGCAGATTTCATTTAAAAACTTACACAAAACATGAATATGTCACTAACTTCCTCTGAAAATATCTACTCTCTCACTTGCCTCTTCTGAAGTTTAAAAATGTATGATTGTAGGAGCATTCTACTACCATTGGAAATAATATTTGCAAAGACTTTGACTCTTTCCAGTAGACTGTCACCTGTTTGATGCTCCCCCTTATCACTTTAGTTTTATCTTAAGTGTTTATGAAGTGGTCTGTCTTCCTTGGCTTGAAGGCAAAGGCTATCTCTAATTTGGCTCCATGGGCCTGGCGCGTAATAGCCACTTGATAATGTTTGTGAGAAGGAGGGAGAAGTAAAGAAGGGCGAGGAAAGCCCAGTCCATTTAGACTGATACTGTTGGGGAATATTTAAGTACCATGAACTATAAGGATGACCTCAGTAATTAAAGAGAAAATCTCAACAGCATTTCAGCATGTACCGTGCATAATGAAGGCATTCAAGAACCTTCCGTCCTTTGGCATTGGTACCAGTGAGTTGGAGGTTAAAATCCTAGAGCTGAATTCAGAAGTTCTTTTTTGAACTTTTTGTCCCCTCAAATGATACAAGTAATACATGTTTGCTATATAAAGTTTACAAAAATGCAGAGAATAAGCATTACTATAATTCTGCCACCCAGAGACAATCACGTTAAGATTTAGTCTCTTTTATCTTAGTTTTAGTCATTTAGTTAACTTTTAGCCTTTTTTCTGTACATGTAATTTGAAAAGTTTAAAAGAGACTTTATATCCAGACTGCTTGTGAGTACAAAGAAGATAAATTGCAATTGGAAAAATACTTGTCAACTGCAGTAAAAATTTGAGATGCTTGTTTTTACTGTTGCTCATCTGGGCAGTCAGCTCCTCAGAATTCCATTCCCAGTCTTCTTCAGGGGAATGGGATCTCTCACCTAGAAACTCTTAGGATGCTTTTCTTATTCCTCCTGTGCGGATACTCTGTGTGTGAGCACTCATTTTCCTAGGGTGAGGCCAGGTTTGGACCCCCGAACCTTCACAGGACAAGCGCACTTCAGGACTGATTGGAACTGATGGGAGTCAATACCCAGAATGGATTTTACCCCCAACTTGTAAAATATCACTCAGATAACATCACCTTTGAAGGAAAGCAAGAATACTTACTAGCTTATTTCTTAGTTGAATAAACATGTTGACCACTTTGTATGTGTCAGTCATTAGTTAGGCATCAAAGCCTCAAAATGAATAGACAATCTTTGTCTTCAGGGAACTTTCAGTTTAATGAAAGAAGAAGAAAAGCAAACAAGGATTATAATGCAGTATAATGAATGCCGTAATAGAAGTGCAGTGATGGCCTAAAGAAGTAAGTGAGCAGAATTGATCAGAGACATCTTCAGGAAAAAGGGGTCAATTGAGTTGGTCTTAGTGGAAAAGTGGGAGTTTTTGTTTTTTTTTTTTTAATGCAAACCTGCAGAGAAGACAATATGTCCAATGTCTGAAGACATGAAGGCACACATCTCTTGGGAAATATAAGTAATTTTGCGTATCTGGAACTCGAGGTGGTAAATGAGGCAAATGGTAAAGACATAGAATGTCAGAGCTTGAACTTTATCTTACAGGCCACAGGAAGCCTCTGAAGGGTTTTATTGAAGAGCAGAGACACAATCTGTTATACTTTTTGGAGAAATCAGTAGAAAGGATGGATGGAAATGGGCTATGCTGGAGGCAGAGGTGTGTTTTGGGGGCAATAAGAGCAGTCCCAGCAAAAGATGATAGGCAGATGTCCAGAAAAGCAAATCTATAGACAGAGTAACTTGTTGGGTCCTGGGGCTGGAGGTAGGGGCAGAGAATGACTGAATGGACATGAGGGATCTTTCTGGAGTGATGAGAGTGTTCTAAGTTGGATTGTGATGATGGTTATGGAGCTCTGTAAATTTTCTAAAAATTATTGAATTGCACACATATATGAGTAAATTTCGTGGTGTGTGAATTATACCTCAATAAAGCTGTTTGCAAAAGCAGGGGTTTGGAGGAGTCAGTCTTCTCAATGAGAGGAGATAAATGTGAGAAATGCTGATAAAGAAGTAGAATTGGCCAGGCATGTTGACTTGTGCCTGTAATCCCAACATTTTGGGAGGTCAAAGCAGGAGGATCACTTGAGGCCAGGAGTTTGAAACCAGCTAGGGCAATATGGCAAGACCCTCATCTCTAAAAAAAAATTGAAAAGTTAGCCAGGCAGGGTGTCACATGCACCTGTAGTCCTAGCTGTTTGGGAGGCTGTTGTGAATGGATCACTTGAGCCCAGGAGTTAGAGACTGCAATGAGCCACGATTGCACCGCTGCACTTCAGCCCAGGGAACAGGACAAGACTCTGTCTCTATTAAAAAAAAAAAAAAAAAGAAGTAGAATTTATGAGTTAGACATTGATTGTATGAGATAGGATGGTCACTTATCTGTTCAGCCAAGTGTCCTGATTGTGATTCCACATTTTGTAAAAAAGTGACAACCCTACCTTTTTCTTGGCAGATTTCAAAGCATATGGATCTATCTTTAACTGGCAGTACAGAGTATCTGCCTCAGAAACCACATCCTCCAGCTCTCTGCCACCCAGTTCTTAGCAAACACATTGGTGTGAGAAAAAAATATTGATGAAAGAGTGTCTGAAAATTTGTGATTCATTCATTTTTCTATACATTGTTATTCAGCAAATATTGAGTGCCAGGTGTTATGCTGGTAACGTAGCAGTGAATAAAGCAGATGTGGTGTCTGCCTTTATGGAACTTACAACCTAGCAGGGGGAACAGATGTTATGTACAGTTATGATAACTATTGTGTTGAATGTTCATGTGCAATGAGAGAAAATGCCCATAATGCTTGGGCGGGGTGTGGCTGTAGACTCTGGTGCCATTTGCATCCAGCTGACACTCCTTTGGAGTGAGTAAGTCTTTGAAATCTGATCCCTTTTGAGTCTGGGGTCTCCTGGGTTATCTTGGGCCTTACATCATCTTGGTGCCCCTTATAATTGTTTTTATTGAGCTCTACATTTAATTTATGCCATCATTTGGCATTGGCTTATGTTGTAAGAAACAGCCATACAAGATTTACAGTTACTTAGTACAGAAATGTAGAATATACAATCTTCAACATCATACAGTGTCTGTTTTTTTTTCTTTTTTTTATTTGACATGGAGTCTTGCTCTGTCACCAGGCTGGAGTCCAGTGGCGTGATCTCAGCTCACTAACCTCCGCCTCCCAGGTTCAAGTGCTTCTCCTGCCTCAGCCTCCCGCGTAGCTGGGACTACAGGCATGCGCCACCACGCCCAGCTAATTTTTTTTTTTTTTTTTGTATTTTTAGTAGAGACTGGTTTCACCATGTTGACCAGGATGGTCTTGATCTCTTGACCTCATGATCCGCCCGCCTCAGCCTCCCAAAGTGCTGGGATTACAGGCTTGAGCCACTGCAGCTGGCCGGCATCTCTTTTTCTAAGGCCCACAAGAGGAAGTTCTCTCTGATCACCGTACAGTATTTGCTTTTATGTTTTGGTCTTTCAGTTGCTCTGGAGCACCAGACTCCATTTTGCCTCAGTTCTTCACACATGGCCTTCCCTCTGCCTTGAATGTGCCATTCCATTCTTGTTGGGTTTGACCCTCACTTATCCTTCAGCTATGAGGTCAAGCGTCACTTCTTCAGAGATGTCTTCCCTATCCAGCACCCACTCCCCTTCTGTACTCAGTCCAGTTCCTAACATAAACTTTCATAATACTTCCTTTTTTTCTTTTATCAGTTTCTAGTTAAATAGTTTGTTCTTTGGTAACATTTTTTTCTCCCAGACTGATAGCAGAAAGATCCACAAGGATGGAGACCATGCTTTTTCTGTTTGCTGCTGTATCTCTGTCATAGTATAGTATCTTGCACATAGTAGATGCCCAATGCATATTTATTGGACATTTGAATGAATGAATGAATGAATGAATGAATGCCCTGTGGGTACTGAGTCTTGTAACTGTTCATTTTCTTTTTTCTTTGGCTGTTTGGAGGCTCAGGCCCTGATTCTGCCTACGGTATTTGCATAGGTACTCATGGCATGCATTTTCTGCACTAACATTTCCCCCACTATATAGTCTTTTTCCTTTCTTTGACGTCTTCATTTTGAAATTCTAGTGTATACTGTAAATTTCAATAGGCCACTTTAAGCCTTTTTTGGGGAAGAAACAATAAACAATTGAGTATATAAGTAGAAGAAATGGAGAGATCAAAGGGGAAATGTTAGTGCCTTTAACTAGATTCAGGAAGGAAGTTTTATTTTGCTTTGTTTTAATTCCATTTTCACTAGAAGAAGGAAAAAGAAGTAAATTTGTCCCCTAATCTGGCAAGACATGCCCCTAAAGAATTTGGGGCCTGCTCCCTGCCCTGAGACGTCTCTCCTTCTGGCAGGAGGCAAGGGGTACTGGTCTGGGCAGGGTCTCCTGGCCCAGTGATGGGTGGGCATGGGCCTGGGAGGCTGGGCTATGCAACTGAGTTCCCTTCCAGTTGACTCCTTTGAGGGAGGGTTTGGGCAGAACCAGTGGGAGCTTGCTTTTTTACTTTAAGAAGGAGAAAGAAATGAACTTGTCCTCTTGTGTTGCAGATTCAGTGGTTCTTTCCTTTGACTCCGCTGGACAAGCACTAGGCTCAGGTACCAACTCTTCCCCCTCTATCATCTTTTTGGCCTTCAATATTAGCCATATTTTTTGTGAAGCCTAATCAATTATGGGTTTGCTGGGGAGGGCAATGGAATACCCCAGAATTGGGGGAAGTCTCAAGAAGCCTTTCTAGAGACTTTATGGTCAGGGAAGCAGAAGAGGGACACATCCAGAGAACTTTTCCAGTTACTTTAAAAGTGTGCAGAGAGGAACTGGCTGGGCGCGGTGGCTCGTGCCTGTAATCCCAGCACTTTGGGAGGCCGAGGTGGGCAGATCACCTGAGGTCGGGAGTTCGAGACCACGCTGACCAACATAGAGAAACCCTGTCTCTAATGAAAATACAAAATTAGCTGGGCGTGGTGGCACATACCTGTAATCCCAGCTACTAGGGAGGCTGAGGCAGAAGAATCGCTTGAACCTGGGAGACAGAGGTTGCGATGAGCCGAGATCATGAGATTGCACTCCAGCCTGGGCAACAAGAGCGAAACTCTGCCTCAAAAAAAAAGTGTGCGCAGAGGAGTTGCAGTAGATGCTCCCTCTTCATTCAGAGTTGTCAAGAGTCATGTAAAAGGATGTCTGTTTTCTGTGCATATATCCTGTCTCAGAAGGTGGAGCAGAGGGCATTGAAAGACCCCAAGCTGTGGGAATGCTGGAGCAGATGACTATCAGGCCTCTCCACTAGAATGCTGGGCTGGTGAGAGCATCCCAGTTTCCGGAGGACATACACTGCATTGCACGTTTACACACATACCCCTTATACTCAAATACAGACCTCTTCCAGGAGAGGAGTACCACACTGTACTGTGCACTCATGCCAAAATGCATGTAGGTAGACACACTCCTTCTCTTCCCTGTTTACAGTGCAGGACACACAGATCAGCACACCTGCCCCAAATTCACCCAGACCCAATGGAGCCTGGCTCTCCCATGTCTGGGGCAGTTTACCTGTTCCACACCACTGTACCTGTTGACAGGAAGTGGGAAGAGACTACTTTGATTCTTCAGCTTGCTGCCATTGGGTCCCTATGGGAGCCTCAGAATGACATGACTTTGAGGGAAGAGTGTCTCTGTGTTTTTAGGTAAAGTCACGTGGGCCTCGTACCATGGGTACCGCCCATGAATGCCAGGGAGACTGCTGGCCTGTTGAGAGCAGTTAATTCATTTTGCCGTCCTTTGATATGATAGATTGATGATTCACAAAACAGCCATGAGGTACAGCAGTTGATGTAGAGTGGACAAGAGGAAAGACATTCAGAGAATATGATCACAGCCACCACTATTTACTGAGGGCCTGCCTATTTTACTGTGTGCCAACACTGTGCTGAGTGCTTTATACACCTCTCAGCTATCTCTCACAATCGCTTTTAATTTTTAATTTTTTAAATTTTTAATGTTTTTGGGTACATAGTGGGTGTATATATTTATAAGGTACATGAGATGTTTTGATACAGGCATACGAGTAATAATCACACCAGGGTATATGGGGTATCCATTACCTGAAGCATTTACAGCTTATTTGTGTTACAGACATTTCAATTATACTTTTAATTATTTCAAAATATACAATAAATTTTTGTTGACTGTAATCACTCTGCTGTGCTATCAAATACTAGATCTCCTTACAATAGCTTTGATATCTTTATTATAGATAAAGAAGCTAATGCTCAAAGACATGAAGTAACCTGTTCTGGGCCATTCATCTCTGTCTAACTCTAGAGCCCGTACTCTCTCCCTTAGCATCTTTCTATCTCATACCTTGTGTGTTTCCCACCAAAATGCTGAGGCAGGAGAAGTCACTTTAAGGTAGAATGGACAGACAGAAAGAGTTCTTAAATTGATCCAAAACTTGTGTCTATTTGTGTAGTAAAAGATTGGTCATTTTATTACATAAAGGTTAAGAACTTCTATTAATCAAAAGACCCTATTAAGAGAGTGAAAAGGCAGGCTGGATGGGCATAGTGGCTCACACCTGTAATCTCAGCACTTTGGGAGGCTGAGGCAGGAGGACAGTTTGAGGCCAGGAATTTGTGACCAGCTTGGGTAACACAGTGAGACCCCAACTCTACAAATTTTTTTTTAAATAGTGAGGGCATGGTGGTGTGTGCCTGTAGTCTGAGGTACTCAGGATGCTGAGCAGGAGGATCTCCTGAGCCCAGGAGTTAGAGGCTGCAATGAGCTATGATTGCACCACTGCACTGCAGCCTAGGTGACAGAGTGAGGCCCTGTCTCTGGGAAAAAAAAAAAAGAAGAAGAGAGAGAGAGTGAAAGGAAATCCAGAGTGTAAAAAGATCTTACAGCACAAATAAACAAAAGGCTTGTTTCCAGAACAAAGAATGACAGAAATCAATAGGAATAAAGGAGCAACCCATTACAGAAATGAGCAAGACTTGAATAGGCATTTCACAAAAGAGGAAATCCAAATGGCCAATAAACTTCTGAAAAGGTGTTTGATTGGGTTAGTACTCAGCATGCAAATTAGAATCCCAATGAGAAATCAATACACATCTACCAAATGGCAAAACTTGAAAAGCTTGACAATTCCAATGTTGAGAAGGATGTGGTGCAGTGAAAACTCTGATTTTTACTTGTTTTAGCATAATTTGGTTCAACCACTGTGGAATAAACTATGGCAGTATCTAGGTAAATTTGGATATACACATACCTGGTGACTTAGCAGTTCCTCCTCTAGGTATATTATCTGCAGAAATGGATGCTTATACATAACAGGACATATATATGCAAGATACGTGTATAAGAATGTTTATAAGAACTTTGTTCATAATTGTCAAAAACCAAAAACAATCCAAATACCTAACAACAGTAGAATGAATATGCAAATTATATTCATAGGGAACAGTAAAAATGAGCAAACCATAGCCAGATGCAACAACATGGATAAATCTTAAAGACGTATTGTTGGGCAAAAGAAGTCAGACAAAACAGTACATACTGTGTTTATCCTTTTATATAAAGTTCAAAAACAAATGAAATTAAACCATATTTGCTTAGATACATAAGTCAGTATTAAAAGCAAGGAATTGAATTCTGTAATAACTAGATGGTGGTGTTCAAGGGGGTATGTTGAGGGATGGGCACAGGGGGGCTTCTAGTGTGTTGATATATTCTTTTTAGTGACCTGAAGGGGGTTATATAGGTGTCCATTTTACAGTAACTCACTAGCTGGGCATTGTATTAAAAATGTAAAATATAGCAAATATATAGAAAAGTACATAAAACCTCAATGTACAGCTAACAATGTTCAAGGGGATTTTGGTCCTCAGCCTCCGTCTCCCCTGGAGTTACGAAAAGATCTTGGGCTTAATCTTCAAATAACTATGGGCCATGGCAGTAAGGCTCGAGGTTTGTACATGGTTCTCAGTGAAGACTGGCAAAGAATGAGAATTCAGACATTTTTCCGCGGACTCCCTCTTAGTGGAGGATAGAGCAAGTTGATTCAGAGTCAGCCTCAAATTATGACTGGTTTTCAGTTTACTTAGCCTTCAGTTTTCCCGACAACACCTACCAGCTTCCACACCTAGTTCTGCCTTATGCATGCTCTCATGGAATACTTGCAGGAGGCCAGTCGTTTTGCTATCTCATGCTTTGCATCAAGCCTAAAAGGGAATGGTACCAGGAAAGAGCTGGGCAGAGGTCTTTACTATTCAAATAAAATAGGTCTTTACTATATTATTTGGAGAGAATTTACAAAGTGTTGGGCATACCACATTGCCAAGAACGTTTTAGAACTTTAGCAGGATAACTTTGCAATTAATCCCTATTTGACTTTCTTTCTGTTAGTGTAGGTACTTAAAAGTAAGAAAAAAGATTCCAGTTCCAGTTAAGATGGAGTGAGCACACTCAGCCTATCTCTCAGTGCAGCTAAAGGCCCATTCAGAATTCATTTAATAGCAGTTTGAGGACTCTGAGACATAAATAGTAGCAGACAGATAGGGGAAGAATACCAGAATTCAATGTATTACTAAAGTGGCAGTTAATTTCCTATTTTCCCTTCAGTGTCCCATGTCTTAGACTCAAGGTACCCCAAACCTCAGCAATGGACACTAAGGCACAAACAGCTTCAGGAGAAGACCTCTAGTTAAAGCTCTGGGGTGGGAAAAGGGCTTCCAAGGCTCAGACAGAGAGGGAGATCCCAAGAGTTGTTCCCTCATGCCCCAGCCCCCAGGCAATCCCACAGTGATGGTGGTAGGGACAGTGGCAGCAGTAGGCCCTTCAAGCACCTAAAACTGAGGGAGGGGAACCTTCCTCTCTGATCAGAGGAGCTGTAGTCCCAAGGGGATGGGGTGCAATTTTGGTTGCTTATTTTCTGTCTTTGCCTTCCTGCTACTTGGCCCCAGATCTGAGTGCAGTTCCGAAAATTCTTGGCAGAGTGTGGTAACTAAAGCCCCAGCTTTCTGGCCAGAGGCCCAGGAAGGGTAGGCCCAAGGAACCAGGAGGCACGAAAGAGAAAACAAAGGGAAAGGGAGCTCAGGAAAGCAACCCCTTTAAGTCATTTATGGACTTCAGGATAACCCAAGCTGTGCATGTGTGCATCTGATTCTAAACAACATACCAAAGACTTTCAGAACTGAACTAAGGGACAGACCACTGCCCAAGTCCCAGACTGGATGCACACACAGAGGACTCTTCTGACTAGGTTTTGAAAATGGAACTGATGTTGAAACCACAACCCACAGAAGGGTAGTTGGAATTTGCTGCCTGAACCCAACCTGGTCGATTGTCTGCTAAAACAAAAATATGAACATTTTCCACTGGATTTAAACAAGATGTAGAGTCTCATAACAATATTCAGAATATCCCAGATATGAACCAAAATGAAGAACCAGGAAAATTTGAACTTGCATGGGAAAAGTTAATCAACCAATGCCAGTGCTGAGGTGACACAGATGTTTGAATAATCTAACCAAGACTTTTTAAACAGCTGTGATAAAAATGCTCCCCAAAGTAAAGGCAAATTCTGTTGAAATGAATAGAA